GTGTAAAGCACGAATACGAAATTTAGTTATTTTGTCTTCGCGCTTCCAATTATTGTTGGAATTATTTGTACAAATAAGGTATGCGCATTAAACAAATATTTCCTTTTGTATATAAATATTAAAATGCATTTTATAGAATTTATACGTAGTAGAATTAGACTTATGTGTACATATAATAATGTTTCATTCATTGTAAAAACCTTCAATACATATCTACATAACTACCCGCAAGTTTCAGGTAGTTATTTTCAGGTTTGAGGCTGAAGCCGCAGAATATGAATGTATAAAGAGATTCTTTGCTTGAAAGGGTCACTGGTCCAGAATATCTATGTACAAAAGGGTTAAACTCTTCCTACTTTTCAAGGAAATATGTATGCACGACCATAAATAAATACACCTCGATACTTTTACTTCTTTACCTTAATTTTGTGGTGTTTTAACACTTGTATTTTCCACTGCGAAGGGAACGGTGGCGTAGTTAAATCAAGACTATTTTTTAACTTCCGTCTCTACAGACATCAAATATTTTTTAGCGTAATTGCATGTTAAGTTAACATTGTTAACATAATCAGGTTGGAAATCCAGAGAAATTAATTTATTACGGAGCGTTCCACTGAAAAAAGGTTAATTTATTCAACAAGAATTGGAGCATATTAAATAAACCGTAGTAACGTTAGAAGTAGCTCACCCTGTAATATATAATTACCATGCACCTTTGCACCTTGGGTGCAAAATTATAGTAGTTCAACAAAAAATAGATCAATAAATTTTATGCAATTATGCACCAGTGGTGCATAAAAACGAAGCATAAAATAGATCAATAATTATTATGCAATTATGCATCAATGGTGCAGAAAAACGAGGAAGATGGCAAAGTATTTTGCACCATAACCGTGGAGGGTCAGATAAAATTTCGAAAAATTTGTGTCAAAATTGTATGATAATTTCTCCCGGCTATTCTGTACCATTGGTGCGTTTTGCATCAATTAACCCAATTGTTTCGCATCATTTCGTGTTACCGATTGTTAGATACCAACGGTGCTATTAATTTATTAAAAAATGGACCTGATCCATTCTAGTGAGTATCAATTGATGCTCACCCAATTGTTTCGCATCAGCTTGGATAACCAACTGTTCAATACGAACGGTGCTACCTACTCCAAAATTGTAGTACTTTCTCGATCCATTTGCACAATTAATTCGCATCAATTGCGCCACGGATTGTTCGATACCAATGGTGCGCCTAATTTATGGGATTATTAATTAGCATCAATTGATGCAAAAAACTCGTGAACACACAGACAGACGGACGGACGGACGGACAAGAGGAATTCAATAGCTCTCATGCTACGCAGGGTGAGCTAATAAGTGAAAAATTTTATAACACCGTAGTGATTGGTCTTATTTAAGAGTGAATTTATACTGGATAACTCGGTAAATAAAAGACCTACATACATACATATGTATGCATAGTTTTTTATTTCGTAAATATTCGTACACCATGTAGTGATTTAATATCAATTTAATTTGCAGTTCCTTAATGGAGTCAAAGAAATTTAAAAAATTAGAATGCCTCCGTTGCTCAAAATCGTTCCGTACTAAGGATAAATATGACAAGCACGTGAGGACCCATGATTCCGATGAGCCGGTGAAATGTGAGGTAAGTAGAATATCTAAATACACTCTAAGAAATTCGGTAACTAAATTATTACCAGGTCGAGTATCTGTGTTACTGTACCGCATGGTAATTAATTTATTATTGAGTGGTATACATCTGTTGCCAAACCGGTAATAACCTCGGTCGTGAATTTTGAAAATATTACCAGTTGGTAACTAATTTTCTACCATTCAATAATAAATAAATTACCATGTGGTAGAGTCACATAGATACTCCGCCCAGTAATAACTTGGTTACCGAGTTTCTTAGAGTGTACATGTACCTACGCTCTAAATAAACATGAGTAAAATTACTCAAGGTTGAGTAAGATAAAGGATGATACAACTACCCGCTGTTAGACAAATTTTGCAAAATCTTGGACAAATTTTACGTTTTGGCTGTGTCATCCTCTTTTTTTACCCTACCTTGAGTAAATTTTACTCTTTTTTATTTAGAGGAGTAGAGGAGGCCCAACTAAAAATGATTAATATATGTATAAGGTTTTTAAATATTACAAATTTTTTGCAGGGTTGTGGGGAAATATTGCAAAATTCCACCAACTTTAAACCACACAAGATAACCTTGCACGCCAACCTAAGATGTAATATTTGCGGGGTGAAGATGGCCCACTGCAAAGGTTTGCGAACACACATCGCAACCATTCATCCCTCAGGAGAACGTGCCAAATTCCAATGCAAATTTTCAGCATGTACTGCAACATATCTTGCTAAGGGAAGTCTTACCAGGCACATTGATTCGGTACATGCCGCAAATCCGCTCCGATTTCGGTGCATTTACTGTAACAAAGAATTTAAATGTAAGAGTAGACTGAATTACCATATTGACACTCACTCCAACAAGAGGTTAAGGGTGCATTGCAGTTTTGTTGGGTGTGCCAAAATATTGGCGAGTAATTATAATCTTAAGCTCCACATCAAAAGGCAACATGCCGAGAACCTTGTCAGCTTACCTTGCACGTTATGTCGGAGGGAATTCAAATCCAAGTCAGACCTGTACAAGCACATCAGTAGCCACACGACCGAGAAAACGCACAAGTGTTCAATATGTGGGAAGAGTTTCCTTCATTTGGGGAATATGAAAAGACATCAGGTAAATAATTGAATACTATTAAAATATTTACACTCTAAGAAACCCGGCAACTAAGTTATTACCAGGCGGAGTATGTATGTATCTATGTGTCTTTACCGTAGGGTAATTAATTTATTATTTAGTGGTAGACTTTTTGCTACCAAACCGGTAATAACCCCGGTCGCGAAATTTTAAAATATTACCAGTTGGTAACTAATTTTAAACCACTCAATAATAAGTTGATTACCATGCGGTAGAGTCACATAGATACTCGGCCTGGTAATAACTTTGTTACCGGGTTTCTTAGAGTGTACAGATACTATTAAAATATTAACTGTACTGGTTTCAAGTTTCAAGTTTCGCATATTTCTCACATCTCGCAAATTGAGTACACTAATAACCTGCCAAGTTTTGCTAGATTTCGCAAACTCCTAATTAGAATACTGTGGGATTTTTCTGAACAAATTTCCCCTCCCCCACCACAATGGGAATGTTCCTATTTCTTAAGCTTATGTATGCTTATGTATAAGCATATTTCGCTAAGGTTTGCTAAATGAGTTGCGATTAATAAGTACGCGAATTAATTAACTGTTAATCTTATTCAATGCTTACAGGGGTCACATTTGGACAAGTCTGCACGAGCTGAGATCAGATGCAAAATTGCGGGACTCCGGAGAAATATTCGTGCGAATTTTGTGACTACGAGACCCCATTCAAGACTAATTGTACTCGTCACATGAAACGAGTACATGATTGTCGGCTGAACCATGAATGTTATTTTTGTGGGAAGACGTTCTTTGATTTTCACGATTTGATTAGGCACTGTAAAATTCATACGTTGGAGAAAATTACAAAAAATTGATACATTCTAGGAAATTGGATTACGATTATGAAAATACAAATTACGTAGAACTGTAGACAACTCCCAAGTGAAAAATTTAAAGGATGTTATGCATAAATTTGGCTGGTTTTTATGCAGAGAATTGGCTGGATTTTATGCAGAAAAATTTATGCCAAAACAATTTGTGCATGGAGAATTATGCATACCGAATTGTGCAAAACCTTTTTGCAGAATATACCAGCGTCAGAAGTTCTATGCAGAATCGTTCATACTTTTTCTGCATAAACTATTGGTCCAGTCAGTTGTGTCGAATTATGTAAAATTCGACACACGATTTATTTTCACCCGGGATATGAAACGTATATGTATATTGTTGATAATTTATTACCAGGGGTAATAAATTATAGCCAGTCTAATCTATAACTATATGCGTAGAGTGCAACATATGCATACATAAATTATTTCTGGACATGGATGATCGTAATTCTGTTTTTTTAGAGTATAAGTTATCTGTTCTTCAATACTTATTAAACGTGCTTCTTTAACTGACAAGTTCTTTGAAACTGGTGATAGATATGTATGTCCTTGTCGGCAATCACGGTATCACTAATGCGCAAATAGATAAGAGATGTTGGAAATTAGTAAATACATATTTATGCACGTTGCTATCACTCTTTTGTAAATCTCAATTAGTGAGAAATCCGACCACACAGCACGATCAAAGACACCGTACAGTCATTCCAAATATATGGAATTTCGGGGGATTGAATAGTAAAGTACATAATTTATGGTTTATTCCATTCCTCTGTTAATGGATGGTATCATTTATTCCATTGCGTGTTTAGCGTGACTTTACATAAATAGCTTATGTAACTCTAGACACTGACAATGCGATGGTATGAAGTGTAACCCTCCGATTTGGTTGAAATTTTGAAATTATGTGATCCATGTCAATACAACCAACCTTTCTTGATGCAGTTTGTGCGATTGTCAGAATTTGGCAAAATATTTGAGGTTAAAGTTGAAAAATGTACAATTTTTAGCACAGGAGGAGAATGGAAGTTGAGTTTGCTTCCTCCACGTGCCAAAAATCGCTCGTTTTTCAACTTGGACCTCAAATATTTTGCCAAATTCTGACCATCACACAAACTGCCTGAAGAAACGTTGGATGTATTGATATGGACCACATAATTTTAAAATTTCAACCAAATCGGAGGGTTACACTTCACACCATCGCATTGTAAGGGCAGAAAAAAATTATTATGGTATAAAACTCATCATGTTTTATGATTTTATTATGAAGAATAAATTGTAAATAATTCCGTGAATTTATCCGCCGTTTAATAAATTATATAATAAAAATTTCAATCTGCGTCATCGTTAAATATAAATACAGCCCATACTGGACAACTACTGGATCACTGTTGTAAAATAGTTTACGCAAATACTTAGGACAATATTCCACAACTTTTGATTCACGACATGTCTCTGGTAACTACATTTTACTTGAGCGTACTTATCGGTTGCATTTTCTTCATCTGGCCTTCGGATGCAGGTTGTTCTACCGTCTGCTACCCAATGATGGCATGTGATGACGGTAAGTTAAAAAGGGTGCATTTACATATTTCAATTAAGGTATGAAGAACTTGGTATTATTTTTCTTGCAGTTTATAACAACGTGAATTGCCGTATCCAGCAAAATTGTATGCAAAAGTGCTCCCCGGACTATAATTACACTTAAATCGAGAATGAAGAAATTACTATAAAATTGTAAAAGAGTAGCAATAATGTATAGTAATGTAATAAGCAAACGCGATGACTGACTGGGGTGAAATGAAATAAAGTGAAGTAATATGGCTGGCGATATAAATACTTAAATATAAAGAGAATTAACTTATGAATTCAAGTTTAGTAACCCGTCTATATATATGGGTGGGTTTGGGGTACGTTAACCCGTCCGGGGTAATGTGCTATCCCAGCGCCAAGTTCAACTGGTAACACACCACCACACACATAACTATCCAATTTTGAGTATTGATAACTCGTTGAAGCTACTTCTGTATGTGCGTTTGATCCGATTAGTTAGCTTACGATTAGCATGTAAATTATTTGGGATCTTTTTTAATTTTGCACCTAAGTAATCTTCGCTACAAACTGATTTTCTTCCGTTAGCGACAAAAAACTTTCATTTAATAAACATTAAAAAACATGATTTGTGAAATTTCGAGAATCAGATCAACTCTCGACCGTCGGGAGACGGGCTTACCCGCTAGTAAGTATTCTTGTAGAGGTGCAACCAATCCTTGTTTAAGGATTGGTTGCACGTATAAATACACATAATACCCATTGCACTTAATAACACAGATGTATATATTTAATAAATAGATACATCTGTAATTAAAAATTATGTACAGATACCATAAAAGGTTATACCGCATCAGTTATAAGTTCGTCGATCTGGAATTACTAATTGGGAACTGGAACGTGCAAAATAATAAAATTTCCATCATGTCACGATTGTCACGCGACACTGGAATTTCACAATCACTCACTCATGTCACTCAAGTGTACTCAAGTTATCACAGATTTAATTACGATTCCCTGTTTTCTTTATCAAATTGGTAAATAATTGTGAACTTTAATCTTACATTATACGATGGGTGTAGCTACATACGTAAGTACTTGAACGTGGCCCAATATAAAGGATTCTCGATCGCACGACAACGTACATAATTAGCAGATTGAATTTGCTTTAACCGTTTCAAAATGATGTCGGTAAAAACCCAGGTATTTCTGGCAGCAATAATTTGCTCCATTTTGTCGGCCACGTTAACCAACGCGGCATCCATGTCGATTGAAGTGGATGAGACGGTAGGAGCCAAGGAAGTCCAGGTGACGGGTTTGATTTTTTGGTTTTATGTACGATTGAAATTGAATTTTGACAAGTTATTTATTTTTCAGCGATCCTGCGGTCCAGGAATTGTACAATGTGTTCCATTCACTAATGTGTCGCATTGCTGTGATTTATGTACTTATTCGATATTTGGTTTCATTTGCGCGTACAACCAGTAATGTAATCTGGGTTAAAATTTATGTGATGAATAAAGTGTAAATTGTAAATATCCGATTTTTATTTGGTCAGTGTCTTTTTTAAAATATTTACAAGACATGAAACAACAAATTATGCGTCAAGGTCGAGTAATTGGATATTATTTTATCAGCCTGAATCAAATACACTCTTAAAAATCCGGTGTTAATCGTCACCAAACGGTGTGCATATGTGACTTAACCAAATTGTGATAATATTTTACCCCACATTGTGATAAATTTTCCCCACAATGTGTCAACGTAACACTGGATAGTGAGAATTCAACACATTGAGGGGAAGATTTATCACAATGTGGGGTAAAATATTATCACAATTTGGTTAAGACATGTGGGCTCACCGTTTCGCTAAGAGTGTACCTGTTTTGTACATGTTTGTCGATCACCTTTAATTTGTCTGCATGCATACTACATATGTATGTATGTATATTAGTCGATAAATTAACTGAATTTATATACCATACAATGTACATACCGATGTGTATACTACATACACACATACTAACACATACATACCTATGCTGCATTAGTGGGGGTTGGGGGGAGAAATACCGTACTTAAAACTGCTGGGAAATGGGACCCAGGTTTATCAGGACATATGTACATATATTGGATCCGGTGCAATTTTTTTTATAAATTTATTTTTAAATGAATTAATATTGATTAAAGTTGGACTAATAATCATTTCACATTCATGAATTAAATAATTTTATTCATTTAATATTGGTTAAGAATGAATAAATAAGTTATTCATTTTTCACTTTTTGCCGTCTGCTGAACGCATGATATTTACATACATAATGAGAAAACATGAGACTACTTTAAGATAAAACGACTAAAAAATGAATACCGAATAATTAATAAGCATGTATCTATATATTTTCCAATTTAGGACAAGTGAGCATTACACAAATGATAAACTTCTAAGTGTATATTATTTATTAAGTAAATTATAATAACAATTATTTCCAATTTGTAAATTGAATGAATTTGAATGCAGGAATATGTATATTGCACAAAATGCAAAAATTATTCGCACGCATGACTCGTTAAACTATTTACCTTTGAAGGATTGAAGTTCTTAATTACGTATAGTTATTTCTGTATGAAATACTACAGCTGCTGTATATTTATTTGTTTGCCTTGCATATAATAAATATCTAAATAATTATAATTAAGTCGTAATTACTAATTATTAACGTACATATATTTTTACTTGGGGTGTATACGCTGAATCACTCTGAAAGCTTGGGTTACGATTTAACCAGAAAGGGGACGAATATGTATTCATCAACCGGAATGACTATAAATTTATCACTGATTGGCTATATTTTTTTTTCTACCAGATATATTAAGATTATAACCAATCGGCAAAAAATTAATCGTCTTGGCGGTGGAGGCTTATATATAACTTTCTGGTTATAATCGTAACCCATTTTTTCTTAGAATTACAAGGTATTAAGTATACATTAGTATACTTTGTTACAAAGCTCTATAAACTATGCGATAATTAAATCCCTCAGGTATTTACATAATTATAATTAGTTACAACTTCCATATAAAGGGCAAGTCATTGCTAAATATTTAGTCTACCGAAATATTTTCCATTGAGCGTTGTTACATATTTAATATTTTAGACATTTTGGCAAAATTAATTATGTAATCCTCCCCTTCTTTGTGAATCTTACGTATATACGGTTACAAATAAAGTATTTTACTTTGATATTTACAGTAAGGACAAGAAGTCACAAATAATGCATTAATTTGATTAAGTTGTGTCAACACTTCCCTTCTTATGACACATTTTCATTGCCAAATTCTAAACACTTTACTGTAAAGAGTCGAACGCTGTTCGGTATTACAATTGTCAAATCTATAGTAATAGTCATTTATTCTTTTCTTTTGTAGGCGTTGTCGCTCTAGGTCAGAAAATTTAAGGACTAATTTGTCCTCAATTAAAGTAATCAGACTTTCCTCAATTGCCACGTCGTACCCAGTATGACCGCTGATAATGTCAATTTTGTCTGAGTATGACAGTTTCGCTTTATCTGGCGAAAACGAATTTCCTCGGAAACAATTCTCCATGCAGGTTATAAAGTCTTGTCTATTTTCATCCATGAAAAATGCGTATCCAATTGGATCCTCCAAAATACGCTCTTTTAACTCGTCAATATTATTTGTATTTTGAAATGTATTCATCATGTCATTAATAGAGAGGAATTCGTCATCAGTCGGGACATTTTGGTATGAGCATAACCATTTAATTTGTCTAAATTCCTGATTGATACCTGCAATTCTGCGTAGCACGGAAAATATCCTTCCAAGTCGTTCCATATCGAGAACATAAAGATGGAGTAAACTGACCTTAGCTAATTTTAATATTTGCGTGAAATCTACACTCTTAGCAAAATTGCCACCAAAATCGTCTCCTCGTGTAGGTACTATGCAACTCTACCGTAGGGTAATAATTTACCTCCGTCCGTTGACAAGTGTGTTTTGTCTCCCGAGCGGAGGTAAATATTATTGTCACCTACCGGGATACAATTTGTTACTGTCGATTAAAGAATGCATTCAACGGAGGTAAGCTGTGTCTCCGAGTAGAAATAATTTATCTACATATGGTGACAATCTGGGTGACAAGTTATCACCGTCTTGCGCATATATTTATCTCCTGCGGTAATAGATTAGAACCCGGGGGAAACAAATATAGTTTCTAAAATATGTATTTATTTATTTAAATACGATTTGGCTAGAGATTAAAGATCTTCCTCTGCATACTACATACATACATATTTATACATATATATAAAAATTAAATTGTACATGCTTATATATATGTACATATGTATATCACTTATAATGTTGATAATAATAATATAATAATAATAATAGCCTTTATTATCCTCATTTACTAGTACTAGGGAATGCACAAAAATGAATTTAGCATAGCACACTAGCCTATTTTCGTGAGCTTACATCCTATTTAAGCCATTACTACTACCGTCAACGACGTCAAATTATAAATTTAACTAGATGAACAAAACAAAACTAACTCGCTACCTACTGGCGCGACTATGTTGGTTGCATACCAAGACTAGTAATGTTTGTAAAATTTAGATACATATAAGATAATCCAATATTTAACCAATTGACAAATTTTAATTAATAACTTACTTAAATTATAAATTGTGTTGGAAAAATGCACAAAAAAACCAACTAAATTTTGAAATACAAACCAATTTTTGATTCCCCAACCAACCGAGGAGTGAGGGACAGAGGCCGCGTGGTAATTCAGATTGTAAAAAAACACATTAAAATAAAGAATTAATAAACAAATTTTGACTGGAATAGTTGACCAGCTTGATAAAGAACGATTTTCGCACATTGCCAATTAAAATTAATGTTATTACCAATTAAATTTAGTTAAAATTAATATAATATAAATAAATTTAGGAGAGCTCGTGCAAGAGCAAATCCTCCTCGGTTGGCGCGCAGACGGGGAATGATGGAAATTGATTCTCGTACTAGCTGGCTCGAGTTTATTATTCGTCTGAAGATTTGCCTGGTATCTACATACAAATCAAATAAAATTAAAAATATTACCTTGCAGCACTCAAACTAAATAAATCGCTGATTAACAGAAATAAAAATAAAATAAATAAAAATGAAACGAGGGTCCACCAGCTCATAATTTGACATTTCGACCACCTCTTTGAATTTGACGCTGGGAAAAAATTTGGTCTAATTCTGGCCAAAAGAAATGAAGTGTCAACTCTATAAATTTTAAAATCACACTCAAAGAAAAATTAAACTTATTTACTACTACTTTAAATTGAGTTTTATCTTAAAATAAAAACATCTTCCACGAAGAGTTCCGTGGAACACGCGACGTTAGAGATGAAATTTTGTTTCCAGTAAAATTAGGAAAATATCTTCATCTCAATCTGAGCCATATTCATCTTTGAACAAAATTTTCGCATCCGGATCTAGGAAAAACTTGTTTAAGTGTAAATATTTATAGCACAAAAAACAATAAAATTATAGCATAAGCATCATATGAACTATGAATTAAAATTATTTACCTGAAATGTAGAGTAATCCATAATTTGAACCTCTAATTACTATTTTTTTCTTCTGATACGATGCGAAACTCGAACAATTTTCGTTATTCTGTAAGGTGCAATAAAGAAACGTTTGTGAGAGAAAACTTAACTGCCACTAAACTTTAGTGACTAAAGTTCGCGCTAGGCTTTAAGGTGACAAGTTGTCACCTATACGAAATAATTTTGGAGACGAAATTAGTTCCACGAAGGAAATAAATTAATTCCGGACTGGATACACTGTTGGTCACTTCCAATGTTGACAATTTTGGTGACAAATTTATTACCTAATGAGAGACAGAGGTTGTTACCTTGCCAGGGTAGTAAAAATGGTAATAATTTTGCTTCTAAATTATTGAGAGTGTATGTCTGCAGGGTTAACTGTGTTTATTAAAAAATCGTCCAAGTATAAACAACTTTTGACTGGTTTATTCCGAAAATCCAATATTTCAAGCAAATATTTCAGATTTTGTTCCACCTCGCCCCGATTATATTTTAACTTTGGAAAATTAGTATAATTTAAGCCCTCGGCCAGTCCAGCTTTTAACATTTCGTCTAAAAATTTAAATTGCATGAGTGCATGTAATCTTTCTGATAAAAAATTATGTCGGAAAGTAGTTTGGCATCCTCTTGAAAAGAATTATTTCCATGACAAGAAAGATAGTTGATTACTTTTTCGAGGAATTTTGCCGAGTAAAATTCAGCAAATGTGCGGTGAATGAATTGGAAATCTTTTGAAGCGTCTTGGGTTTCCTTATCTTCTAATACGAATACAATACCTACTCGTTTGATATCGTCGATATCCGACTTATCCGGATATAGCAATTTCTTCCCAAAAATCTGTACAATTAAGGAATCATACTCGTCCCCAAAATTGATTACTTTGCCTGCCATTTTATACACGTGCTCGTCCAAATGAGTC